TTTCATATTATATGTCAGTACAAAAGCTGTACTTTGTGTTAAGAACATTCAAACAACTGTCCATTAGGACCAGGCATAGCAGTTATATAAACATTCATGCGAGTGTCTCCCCTACAGAAGCATCTACTCTAGTAGAGGGGAAGGCCCCAGAAGGAGGTCTTCCTGTATGAAATGGATCATGTGCTCAGCCCTAAAGAAACCAACCCAGGAAAGGGGCGGGCAGGCAGGCAGGCAGGGAAGACAGCCAGTGCGGCCCAAGAATACGGCCAACACAGGCGCTTCACTACACAGGTTCCAGCGTTAACAAGATCAATGCTTAGCAGGTAGATATCTATACAAGCACAATACAGTATAAATACCATGCCTATTTCAGTTATTGAAAAATAGATCTTTGATATAAAGGTAAGTTTCTGGGCAGATGTGGAAGGCTAACTGTGGTGAAATCAAATTACTTGGTTGGTATGGCTCTTCTGCCCATGGTCTTTGTAATGCCCACCAGATGATGGGCAGAAACATGCAAATAAGGTATAACTTGGGGGCAGGTCACATTGTGATGAATGGAGGCAAGCTTGAAGTTGTCAAGGATTTCACTTTTGCTTGAATCCACAATCAATGCTCATGGAAGCATCGGTCAGCAAACGCACTGCTCAGCGTCGGACTGCACTGGGTAAATCTGCTGCCTAAGCCCTCTCTGAAGCACTCAAGAGCAAGGGTGTTAGGTGCAAATGACTCAGCCATGGTACTTTGAATCACCTTATATGCATGTGGGAGCTGGACACTGAGTCAAGAAGCCTGAAGAGTCACTGATCCATTTAAATCATGGTGCTGGCAAAGAAGAGTGTGCCATGGACTGCCAAAAGAACCAAGAAATCTGTCATGGGAGAAATACAGCCAGAATGCTCCTTAGAGGCATGCGTGGCAAGACTTCATCTCACATACTTTGGACATGTTGTCAGGAGAGACCAGTCCCTGGAGGAGGACATCATGCTTGGTGAGGTAGACGAGCAGGGAAAGGAGGAAGGCCCTCAATGAGATGGATTGACACAGTGACGGGCAACAATGGGCTCAAACATAAGAACTGTGAGGGTGGCCCAGGACCTGACAGTGTTTCACTCTGTTATGCACATGGTTGCTATAAGCGGAACCAACCTAACAACACAATGGCCCCTAACGACAACAAAAATGCCCACTGAATGGTCTTGGCACCCTTGTTGAAAACCAGTTGACTGTAGAGATGTTGACCTATTTCTTATTTCTATGTATTGTCCATCCTTGTGCCAGGAACAAACTTGGTTGGGTTATTCGCCCTCACAATTATGGGAGTGTATTAGGGAATGTAATAGGTGTCCACAAGTCAGGATCAGTAAACAGTACAGATATAGTCATTGGTCCACGGCAACAACACCTCTCTTCTGCCAGCAACCAGGTCTCTCTCCAGTCCTCGGCCTCTCAGGCATGTGATCCCTTGGCCTCTGCCTCCAACAAACAGTGCAGAGTGGTCAGTTTTACTAGGTATTAAAAGGAGCCATCTCAGAGGCAGCAAGAAGAATCCTATGACCCACAAAAAAGAAGAGTCATCAAAGAGCACATTGGCTTTCCGTGCCTGAAGTGGTGGAGGCAGCAGAGGCACCAAAGGCCACAGCACTGAGACCATTGAGACAGAGCAGTGGGCTTCCCAGCCCCAGAAGGAGTAAGGCCAAGTGCCTTTGGGCAGGAGGCTGGCTTGCAGAGAGGGGTGGCCCCTGTGGTCAATTACCCGTACTAAGGGAGCTTTGTCACACTAGCCAAGCAGGGCAGAGGCCAAGGGACCATATGGCTGAGAGGCTGAGAACCAGAGAGAGAGGCCTACCAGCAAGGCTAAGAAGAGGTGCTGCAGACAACAGAAGGGGATCCTTACCATTTTGTTACCTGTTAGATTCCCTAATAAACCCCCATAACCATGAGTATTGTCTGCGAGTTCTATATGAGCACTGCAATGGATTATCTAACCCAGTAGAGGAGGATAGTGCCATGGGTGGGATGGTTAGTGTTAGAATAGGGTAAAGAAGGATGGAGTGTGGAGGCATGTCTGGCTTCTGCCTTGTGGCCATCAGCTTTGGACTGGTATGAATTGGATGATCCGCTTTCGCTGGAGGAGGTCAGAGACGCCCTCCACACCGCTTCCTTACTAGTAATAATGGAAACCCGGAGAATCCACATCAGACTCAAGCTCACCTTCAAAAGATAAGCCATTTCTGCTCCCAGTTTTCCAAGTTGTCATGACCAATAGTCCCTCTTTGTATGCTCCAGTGGTGGTGGAACCCCGGTGCTGCAAAGGGGAGCTGTTCAAACCCACCTGCTGCTCTGTGGGGGAAACCGCACATGGCTGTAAAGGTTGACAGCCTTGGAGACTATAGGGAGCAGCTCTACTCGGTTCTCACAGAGCTGCTGGGGATCAGGATCAACTCAACAGGAGCAGGCGAGGGGGTGGGGGTGGGGCAGAGGGAGGCAGGGCTAGCCTAGAACCAAGGCAGTCTGTTCTCTCTTCAAAAACACACTTTTCCCCGATCAAGGCCCCTCTTCTGGAGAGATGCTCATTGGAATGTGAAGCCAGGAGTGACAGGAATCAAATACAGACTCTTGTTGGCACTGTTTTAAGAGAGTCTGGCAACTGATAAGATGGAGAAAGAATGGCCCAAGGGCTCCTGAAAATCAAACTCAATGAGGTTTTAACTCTTTAATTTACCTTCTCCATCTGGTTTGCTTTGTTTTGTAAATGGGTCTCTTTTGGACTCACCTAAAGAGGCAGGTGAGAAGGATGGCAGGGTGACTGAAAGGATCCCTAACCCCAAAATGTCTGTTGAGGGGGTGGTGGGTGGGCAGGACATTCAAAGCAGGCAACAAAGAAACAAGCCCAGCCCCCAGATGCATTTCCATGGTCAGAGATGGTGAGCCCATTTCTAATTCCTCGCAGTGACCCTCAAAGTCGCAGCTCCTTTGCCTGTGATTTCACTCCAACTGTAGCCTTAAAATGCCAGGGGCGGGGAAATCAATGCATTCACAACTTAACATCCATCAAGTGCAGTGCTACTCCCAGGCAGGCAGGAAGAACACAAAATGCTAGTCCTTGACCCTGGACACCTAAAATGCAAGACAGACATAATTACAGTAATAATTACCATAACTGCAGGGCAAAGTGCATTTAAAAATTAACAAATGCCTTTACTAGACAACCACAGGCACTCACGTGCCCACAAAAGGACAAAGTCACAGTTATTTCCACTGTTCTGTGGGTCAAAAGAGCCGAGAAAACACCTCAGTCCCAAGCCTTCCTTCCATGTCCTCAAAAAACCCAAAAACCACCCTGACCCAGGAATTGTCTTCTAGCCAAGGTGGTAAGCTGTGCTGGGGAAAGGAGGGGCAGGTCAACACCTCAGTTATAAAGCTACCACTAGAATTGGCTATGTGTTGGGCTACTAACCACAAGGTCAGCAGTTCAAATCACCAACCACTCTGGGCTCTGTAGGAGTAAGACACTCTAGCACAGAGGTTCTTAAGCTGTGGGTCGTGACCCCTTTGGGGATTGAACGGCCCTTTCAAAGGGGTTGCCTAAGATTTCCAATGGGCTTAGGAACCGAGGGAATGCTCAGAGGAAAGCTCCTGTCTTCTGGCGGGTCCGCCCACATGCAGATACGCCCACCTACGAGTACCAGGCGTGAAGACTGTTATCCATGCTACACCATGCTTCAAGACAAAATTTCATTGATTTGTCATTAGAAATAAATATTTCATAATATATAATTACATATTGTTTTGTGATTAATCACTATGATTTAACAATGTTCAACTTGTAACAATGAAAATACATCTGGCCTATCAGATCTTTACATTACGATTCATAACACTAGCAAAGTTACAGTTATGAAGCAGCAGTTAAATTATTTTATGGTTGGGGGTCACCACAACACGAGGAACTGTATTAGAGGGTCTAGGCATTAGGAAGGTTGAGAACCACTGCTCTAGCAGAATCACAATCTCAGAAGCCCACTAGGGCAAGTCTTTTTTTTTTTAAACATGGGCAGTTCTACCCTGCCACATAGGATCGCTATGAGTTGGAATCGTTTGAGGACAATCACTTAGCAAAGTATTGACATGTTGATAAATTGCTGTGAAGGCTTCCTAATTGGAAGGGACAGATAAATGTTTTTAAAGGGAGGTTGGGTAGGGGTGGGGAGGAGTGTTAAAGAGGCAGGAGCAGAAGCACAAGGCTGAAATCTATTTAGATCTAATTTAGGCTAGAAGGAGCCCTGATGCAGGTGTGTACGGGGGCATTGGCTGTTAATCACAAGGTGGACGGTTCAAACCCACCAGTCTCAGAAACACTGTGTACGGTTGCTATGAAGTCAGAGCTGACTCGAAGGCAGTGGGTTCGGGTACTAACAAAGCATGACAAATTCTTTGGGTGCCAGCGTGTCCCCTCTGGAGACATCGCTCTCCCCAGGAGTTAGAATCCCTTCGTGTGTTCTTCCAGCACCTGTTCCAGGCTTGCGGTCGTCTACCCCTCCCAGAGGCGGGAACGCGGCCCTCCCACCCCAGGGTGCGGCTTCCGCCTTCAGGAGCTGGGATGGGGTAGAGTTCAGTGTTCCTTAGGGTGCCCACGGGTGTTTCTTCGCTGGAGCAGGTAGCCTCACTTGCATCTCTCAGAGCATACCCTACTGTGGGTAGCAGACCAACGCGTGCCCCTCTGCGTTCCCAGGCATCGGTCTGCACCCACATATGCAAAGTGGGCACATCTTCTTGCCCCCGGCAGATCCGGGTCTCCAACCTCAACCCTCAAATCTCCCTGGGGCTCACGCCAGCTTCCCGGGACACCCCGGTCCACATCGGCCGGGTCCCCGCGAAGCTGGCGTGTGGGCAGCAGCTCCAGGAAGGGGAAGGGGAGGGCGCTGTCGCCCATCCTGGGGACCGCGGGGGCCTAACGCGCCGGGACGGGCACAGGTGCGGCGCTCCAGACCGTTTACCTGCCCAAGATGACCACAGCGCCGTCCCGCGGCGCAGCCATGCCTGACCCCTGCGGCCGGTGTCCGTGGCTGTGGGACCTGTGAACCCGTCTCCGCGGGTTTGTACTCTCCTCGGGGAGGGGGTGGGGGGAGGGAGCTCCGGCGGGCGAGGCCCGCGCTCATTGGCTCCAATTCCGAGTCCGCGCAGGCACATCGAGAGGAAGGTCTCCGATAGGCTGGGTCGGGCCACGGAGCCGGCCAGCGATTGGACAGGACCGGAGGCAGCACCGCCCCCTCCCGGACAGCCGCAGCCAGCCTGCCCGCCCGGCCCGCCGCGGCGCGACTGACTGGGAAAGTTGCGTCCTAGGCTGAACATTCGGGTTATGGGCGGGGGAGGGAGCAGAAACCCTTCTGAAGAGAGCCGTGTGCTCTAAACTCTCTGTGCCTGGCCCTAAACCGTCAACTTGGTGTGCATTCGAGGGGGCGCTGCCAGGCTGCCACCAGGCTTGGCCACAAAGGAGTTCCTGTTGCAGATCAGCATACCTGGTTTTATCGCGCACCACGTGGCACGGTTCATGCCCTTTTTTTCAAAGTGAATGTTTGTGGCCGCCCTGCGTGGAACAATTGTCTCTGGACCCCGTTTGGGTAATCCTCGCAGTATTTTTTTAAAAATAAATGCATAATGTTATTGCACACGTAATAGATGAGCAAACCCAAAAACTCACTGCCATCCAGGCCTTTCTTACTCGCAGCGACCCTGTAGAACTGGATACAATTGCCCCTGTGGGTTTCTGAGACTATCTGTTTACGAGCAGTAGAGAGAGTCTCCTTTGTCTCTTACAGAGCAGCTGGTGGTTTCAAACCGCCGACCATGTGGTTAGCAGTCCAACGTGTAGACTACGGTATACTGTAATTATACTTTTTATACGGATTGTGGAACCGTCCCCCCACACACACACACATAATGAAGCTGACTTGCATAAGGAACGCCATTTTACGAGTTTTTAAAACTCTTGACCCTTCCCCTGCTTATGTTCTCGGAATGTACTGTCTGCTCAAAATGTCCTTCAGAATGTACTGTGTGATCAGAATGTCCTTCACAATCTGTCCCCGGAATGTGCCCCATTCAGTGTCTGTAAACTAACGCTGGTTTTGGCTTCTGTAACTCGCTAGCACAGCTGTGCAGACAAAAACCAGACCTACCATTAGTCATCCAAACTTTGATTTTTCACAAACAGAGAGAGAGAGGGAGAGAGAGGTTGTTTGTTTGTTTGTTTGTTTGTTTGTGATCTGACATGGAACCTTCAATATATGTCCAAGATAGGAGAACTGGGGCCCGGGAACTGGGCTGCCACAGCAAAGGAAATGACCAAAGGCAGTCAGCTGTGAAACTCGCCAGCTTTTCTGAATTCCATGCCATTGTGCTAATGGGACTGTGAGGAGTCAGCTACTCTAACTGAACTTCCTCTTTCAAGAGGTACAGCTGGTTTAGGTTCGATTTAAAAACAAAAACAAATGCGAGGCCCTGGCTCTGGGCTCTATTTGGAACCCAAACAAACGGGCCCAAAGGAAAGGATTTCACAGCCGGCAAGGCAAAGGCTAGTGTCCGCACAGCACACGTTGAAGGGAAATAGACCCGTCATCAGTGCATGATTAGAATGAAGTTGACCACATGCCTCGTGTTACAGATTCACGTGACTAATGGGGTTTTTCCTGGATTTGTGTTCCAGAAAAGAAGAGAAATAGCAAAGTGAAGAATTGTTGTGAGGTATTGTCAAGTAAGTTCCCCGCTCACAACAAACCTGTGCATAACAGAACAATTACACAAGTGAAAACTCAAAAGGGCAGTTCTACTCTGCACTATAGGGCTGCTGAGTCAGCACTGAACTCATGTCAATAAGTCTCTTTTGAGTACCAAAACCACCACCCCAAAAACCTCACTGCCATCAAGTCAATGCTGACTCATAGTGCCACCCTGTGGGTTTCTGAGACTGTAACTCTTTATGGGAGTAGAAAGCCCCATCTTCCTCCCACAAAGCAGCTGCTGGTTTCAAACTGCTGACCTTGCAGTTAATAGCCCAAATTGTCACTGCCTTCTGGAAAGAAGTTTGATGATGTATTGTTGGGAGAGCAGCCAGCTAGGGACCCTGAGTGTAGCAACTACAAGTCCTGTTCATCACCCAGTGCTGAGCAGTCTGGAGCTCACCACGCAGGCAACTGCAGAGCCCAGGCATCCTCTGAGGGTGACCTAATAACTGCTCACACCCTGGGGATGAAGAGGGACTGGAATGTTTGTTTCTCACTACAAGGTTTGCTCTTTGCTCAGAGAGTGCTGGGCCTTTAGCTCTGGGTTCCTCTCCGGTACCAAACCCCACTGAGAAGGCTGGGATCACCAACCATTTGGGCCAACAAGGGGGGACAACGACTCTGAAAACAGCATAGATCCATGATGCCATTGAGTCCACTGCACTGACATTAAGAAAGTCTTTTATCCTCAATTAGGCGAGAAGCCCCATGCAGTTCTTGACACATGTAGAAACTAATAATGTGTGGACTCGTTGGATTAACAGCTCTACAGAGGTGTGGATTAGTTCATGTGGCTCCTCTACCCAAAGTGTCTCCCACCAGTGGACCTTTCCCCGCATGGGTCAGCTAAGTCATCGGGGGAACCTAGAATTATGTGTTTGTTTTGCTAGTTATTATCTTTTTTTCCCTTTTCTTTTCTCTTTTTATCTCTTTTATCTTATCTCTTTTTTTTTGAGCTGATGATGATATATTGATTTGTATATAGTTATTAATATATCAGCTGGCCAAATCCACTGCTATTGAGTCAATTTTGACTTACAGCCCCCACGCATCACTTCAATGTTTGTTTGTTTGTTTTAATCAATTTATTGGGGCTCATACAATTCGTCACAATACATAGATCAATTATGTAAAGCACATCTATACATTTGTTGCCCTCATTATTCCCAAAATTTGCTTTCCTCTTGGGTTCCTGGAATCACCTCATTTTCCTTTTTTCCCCCCTCTCCCTCCCTTCCTCCCCCCCCTCCCCCATGCATCCTTGA